ATTTTAAACTCAGGATGTTTCTGCTTTTTCCAGGTTGCACAAACTCTGTAGGTCTGGAGTTACCCCTTTTTATAGGGATCTCTCTATTTGTGCAGGATTTCCACATACAGTAGTCCAGTCTGCACAGAATTTCCTTAATCAAGTAGTCCAGTCTACTGAATATCTAGAAATATCACAGAATATCTGGAAATTCTGGACAGCTCTACAAGCATTGATCAGAAAGAAAGTTATAGTCGTGCCCAGTAGTTTCACTTAATTGGAGAATCAAGAAGGTGCACAATAGACTTCAGGTTTGATGCTACAGATGGCAAGAAATGCTTCAAAGGTTTATGCCCTACATAGTTATTACTCTATGAACCTGGTGTAGGTCAAAGAGTTTTGAGAAGCATCAGACCAACTGTGTATGAACTGAACGGTTCATGTGTGATTGCTCAGTGAAGCTAGCATGTCGTGAAGGCAGTGGATTTACTGCACATGTGCATACCATGAGGATGTGTGTGTATCAGTCTAGGACTTGTGGTCATGAAATTTGATGGCTCTGTAACTTACAGTGTACATTGCAAAGTGTGTGGCATCTCAGAAGAGCATCCAGGATTAAGACAAACTTACTGGAAGTTTCCAGCATTGGTAGTAATTCACAGTTACCTCTGTAAGTCCATAACCATGTATGGCATTTGTAATACCAGGCTTTAAAATGGTAAGGAATGGAAACTTCCCTATGGAATTACCTTACTGCAATATTTGAAGGTCCCAGCATTTACTTTTACATGTTCTATTCAAATGTGATTCCTTTCTCTGAATGATTTTTTCTTACATTGTTGCCTTCCCAAATTGCCTTCCTGCTTAGGATCTTTGTAGTTGAATTTTCAGTGGTTGAGATTGCTGGGAACTTTTTTTTTTTGTTCTCCACAGGAAACCTATGCCAATTTTTAAGAACTGGAAACACCAGTAGTTGAATGGAGCTGTTATATGAAATGGTAGTGGTACAATGAACTATACATTAAATCCTTTTTTATGGAGTGTCTGAAAGGTCAGCATACATCTCTGCTGCTCAGTGCAGGTTATATCTTCCACATTTTGCCTTTTTCCTTTTATTTGTTTTACTTAATTATCCACACATTCTTCTCTATTAAAAATGTTTGCACCATTAACCAACACAAGCAGAAACAAGAAGGAACTGTGATAAAACCTTGATAAATTGCATCTTTCAAGAAAAATTTGGGTAACTTACTGCAGTAGTTACACTGTGTATTAAAGGCACATAGGCAATGTGTGTGATTTAATATTTAACAGTGGTGCATCTTCTCTCATTACATTATTTGCAAGTTTTATACCAGTAATTTTTTTTAAGACTTCTATCAGGTAAACTTTAGTCTGTAGCTGATAAAACCCACAAATACATTACAGAAACTCTAAAAGATAGCATGACTCTGGTTGAGAGATGCAATCAGAGCAGGTGTTCAGAAAAAGTTCTGCATCATAGGGTTTCAATCCTGTCCCTTTTAGTTCTTCTAGCTGAGTATTGCCAGCATGCTAGTCAGCTTTTGCAGGGCAGAAGAGGCTTGTAAGTGTATTTGTTCTGAAATGCCATTTAGTTTCTAAACTAGAATGAAACATTCATTTAAGATGAGATTAAGAGGGGTTTTTTTGCTTATCTGTATTCAAGTATATTGCTTCAGGGAATATTTTTGTTTTGTCCATGAAACATTTGTAATTCTAATTTACAAATTCTAATTTAGTGGTCATTTATATACCTAATTATTTTTAATAAGTTTGTGTGTAATAGTATCTTTTGTAAGTAGTTTTATTTTCAATACTGTATTTTTTTTTAAAGAAATACTATATTATATCTTTCTTATGTTGTTATTACAGATAAACACAAATCCCCTTCGGATATAATACGAAGTTTTCAGAAGAAAAGTCAATTTAGGACCATTGCTCCAAAAATGGTACCCAAAATTTTAACATCGTCAGTGGTTTCTTGTCTTCAGTCATCTTTGCCTGATCAAAAACCACCAATTTCAGCTGCAGGTTCTAAACCACTGGTGGTACCAACTCAAAACTATGCTGTTATGCAGGTGGCTGGTCATGAGGGGACTTTCTCCCTGTTGGCCTTGCCATATGTTGCCCCTGCCCTAACGCAGCAAGTCCAGCAGTCAAATGTGGGCCCTTCTAAAAACCTAAAGCTGCCTATCCCTAGGTACCAATCTGCAAGAAAGAAAATGCTGAGTGACAAAAAAACGGCACAGATCTCTGGCTTGGGTGCACATGACAAGGTTCCTACCAAGGCATCAATCTCATCACAGGCTTCTCTCATGACTACTTTAAGTAAAGACTGTCCTGAAACTCATTCTAGTTCAAATTCAACTGAGCAAGCAATGCTAACAGACCGTGACTCAGCTGAAATTACTGTTGCCACGTTAGTAAATAAAAGCAATTGTGTGGAATCTGGATCTCTTTTAGAGAACAAACCTGAAACTGCTAACAGTAGTGTTTCTGGACCATCTGTAGTTAAAGACTCTTTATCCAAGCTGGCAAGTACAATTAATCCCAAGAAAACAAGTCTGCGCTCCGTGAAGACAGCATCTGAAACCACAAGAGAGTCATTCATAACATCTGAGAAACTAAATGAAAAACCCACAAATTCTGCAAATTCTGTTGCTGTCCTGTCACCAGCAGTTTTTGGCAGTACAATACAGATGACTCCATCAGCACCAAAAGGAAAACTTCCTATTTTGCCTTACTCAAGGATAAAAAATACAGTGTTCTGTAAATCTAAGGAGAATACTAATGTTACAGATGCATCTGGTCCTTCACCAAGATCTGAATGTGAAAAGACATCAGCTTTGGCGAAAACCTTTCACGTTCCTACTAAAGCTTCTGATAAGCGGTTAGCTGTGTCATTTACACAAGTCCCCAAACAAACCATTCGAGAAAATACCTTCTCTCCATCCAATAAAGTGGATGTTGACAGTCTGAAAAAAATTAATAGTGCAGCCTCTAAAAGAAGAGGCAGGAAAAGAAGAGCCGCAGATGATTTATTGGCTTTTCAGACCAAGCGAAGGAAATGCATCAAGAATAAGTTTAGAGAAGGAAGAGAGAGGGCGAAAGTTGGTCTTCAGCCATCCGATGGCAAAAAAGCAGAAGCAGTGAAAAAATACCGTAGTATTAGACCAAAACCAGTGTTACTTGTGCAGGCTTTTGCCCCTCTGACTTCTGCAGCAACAGCAGAGACACCATCTCCTAACCGCTTAGACCAAGATACTTTTTTAAATAGTTCACTTCCCAAAAAACATTTAAGCTACAAACATGGTGATGCTGCGTCAGCTAAATCAAGTGATTTAAGTAGAAATGCATGTTCAGCCGTACCTAAGCAGTTGCATAAATGTCATGTTTGTAACCACATCTTCCAGTTTAAACACCACCTTCAGGACCATATGAACACTCACACAAACAAACGGCCCTACAGCTGTCGAATTTGCCGCAAAGCATATATTCATTCAGGAAGCCTCAGTACACATATGAAACTTCATCACAGCGAAGGCAAACCCCAAAAGCTCGTGTGCTGTGAATTCTGTGCTAAAGTTTTTGGCCACGCAAAAGTGTATTTTGGCCACCTCAGAGAAGTGCACAGGGTTGTTATCAGCACAGAGCCCTCTACTAGCGAGCAGCAGCTGCAAGATGCTTTGAAAAAGAGAGACACGAATATAAAAGAGGCAGAAGAAGCAACAGAGAGGTGAGTGTTTTCACTAATAAAATGCTAACGAAAACGGGATTTCAGGTTGTCAGTGGAAATTCATAAACATCACAATTATAAAAATCATTGCTTTTTCCTCCATCAGTGAGATTCCTAAAGGTTTAAATATTTTGTTAAGGAGTCTAGTCAAACCATTAGACGATCCGGTATATTTTAGCTGATTTGTTGAATATAAAGTATTGCTGACTCTTGAATAACTGAAGTAATTTTGCATATATTGTAGTACTATGCAATATACTGCCAGTTGAGCTATTTTGGTCAGTTGATTTCTCACAGCTAACAGGTTTTCTATTTATCTATGCTGTCTTCTGTCCTATCAGTTTTGGGGTTTTCCCCAGAAGATGAGTGAACCAAGTGCAGCAAGTGAAAAGCAATTAATATTTCAGTATTACCTTGTAGTTTGTTTATCATATTAAATATCATTATCCCATTTCCTTCTCTGGAATGCTGTGAACTAATCTGTCCTGTGTGTTGATTACTCCTGCTTTAGCAATCACTTAGCCAAGTAGGAAAGTTAGCATTTACTATAGTAAGATGGATGGAACATTTGTCTCTGCCTTATGATTTTGAGGTGAAATTTCTTCACACAGTGTAAATGTTGGCTTGTTTGTTGGTTCCACTGTGCATTTACTTTCATGGAAGTACACTTTATTAAGATAAGGGCTTCAACCTGACACCTCACTATGACGCTACAGTTCAGTTTTAGACATTTTGCTTTGCATAGCTCCCCTTTCTGGGGCATCAGTTAGAAATTTTTCAGGTATTGAACCTAAGAAATACCAATGCTTTTCTTACAGCCTTACTAGCTGTTGTACAATGAATCATTCAGTTTACTTATCTTGTTGGATAATCTGTCTAATGTGGAGAAACACACAGTGTTATGTGGTCCTTTTCATAGATGTTGTGAGACGGTTTCTGTGGAGATCTTCGTTTGATTAGCTTAGCTTAAACCAGGGATTTACTAGCTCTGTGTGTATCTGCTTCCTTCATACTGCAGAGTTGTCCTAAATCAGTGAGAGGGGCTGTCTAATTCTAAGTTAGGTATTTAAAGTTCTAAAACCAGACTTTTTAAACTAAAGTGTTACAGACTTTTAGGAAGGAAAAAAAAACCCCAGCTTTGAAGTTTCATTATTTCCATCTTGGAGTAGGAGGTGGAGCATGTGGTTTTGCCTTAAGCTGACCTTAGATCACTCAGTGTAAACACACTAGATCTCTTAGCAGTATGCTGCAGGTAATGCTCATTTTCATTTTTCTAGCTCAGAATTAGGAGTATTTGCATTGACCTCACTAAATCAGGAACTTTAAAAAGCGTTTTTAACCTTTTATTAAAAACTGGGTGTTTTTAAAAGATTATTTATACCAAGGCTAATTTTGGAGGCAATTCTTAAACTCAGCAGTGGTAAATAACATTTGGTTTCATTTTTTTCCTAATCACCCTAATTATTCCTCCTTTTTTTTTTCTTTTCCAAATAAATTAAATGCTATAGGACAGTGCCTGGTTTTAATTAAATGAATGTTTCATGAATGTCATCTCTTGTTGGAACTTACAAGGACAGAAATTGCCATTCTTGTTCTGTACACGGCTAATACTGAAATAGTTCATATTTCCTTTTTTTAACAGGGGAAATAAGTGCAATTTTGAGGACCTATTCCATAACCCGGGAGAAGTGAAATTACAGGTCAGATGTGGTCGATGCCAGTTTATTGCACAGTCTTTTGGTGAAATGAAGTTTCACTTATTGTGCTCTCATGGAGAAGAGATCCAGGGAAGAGTAAAGGAAGGGGGTTTGCAAGGAAATAGAGGAGCTAAGGGGGAACTGATCAAACATGCAACCCACTTCTGGAAACAGCATAATGAGAGAAGACATCTAGCAAAATGCAGTGCCCATGAGGAAGATGTTTATACTTTTCCAAAACTGAAAAGACAGATCTACTTGCACCATCAAAATAATGTTGATATATCGTCTAAAAGCGGACTGACTCAGTCAGGAAGTGGTGAAACAGCCAAGGAGATGCAAAATGTAGGTTTTGGTACACCTAGCAGAAAAACAGAAACTTGCTCTAAAGTGAGCTATAACTGCATTTTATGCAAACAGTTATTTGGAAGAAAAGAGGATCTTTGTAATCATTGGCAGAGTCACCATAACTGTGAAGACCCTTCCGCTTTATGGGCAATTTTTAGTTTGTTATCAAAACAAGGAATTATTGAACTTTCTAACAGTGGTGAATATTGAAACTCAGTTCTACAATGCCATGAAAAACATCAACTGCCTTACCAAACTCTTTACGGTTTTTTGTTGGGTTGATAAACTAATTCAGGAGATGTATCCCTTCAGAGGTTTGCTTTGTGGGTCTGTTGGGGGGATTTTTTAACTTACGCTAACCTTTATTTTGTTAAATCAAAAACGTATTTATCCAGGATCATTCCCAATGGGTACCTGCAAGCCGTTTTTTGAAACACTGTACTTAAAATTCATGCTTAAGGAACTTAGGAGCAGCACATACTCAGTACTAATGGTTAACATCAAGGAAAAAGATTTTCCAGTTAATTTATTCTATATACACAGAAATAAATCAGTTTATATAAGGTAATCTCGGTCTTGAATGAAATGACAAATCAGACTGGAAGTGCAATTTCTGTGCTTCCAGATTTTATGGTAAATATATAAATATTTTCATGCAGTTCTCTGGATCATTTGAATGTGCCTACATGCAGCCGGCATTCAGAAGCTTTATAATGTATAATTTAAAAGATTTTATTCATGTTTTTTGATTTTAGTATTGTCAGCCACGTTCATTGCTTTCAGGTTTGTTATTGGCAGGTTTTTTAGGTGTTACATTCTGTCCTGGTAATAGCAAAGATCTCTTGGATTTCACTTTAAAGTGAAAAATCTACATGTATTTCTTTACCTGTAGCTGGGTTGAAAATAAGTTAGTTGCCGCCTGTGAAGAGGGAACCCTCAAAGCTTGACTGCTTTATGAAAAAGAATAAAAGTTTGTTTTAAAAATAGTCATCTGAGTTGGTTACTCCTGAGAGGTTTGACATTCTGCAATAGACTGCATGTTTCACAGTGAACTTTCAGCATATTCCTTTTACCTTCTGTGACAGCAGCACTACTGTTGCCAACACTGTTAGCACTCTGCCTTAACACTCTTGGTATATAGCTTTTGTACCTGTGTAGTTGACCCAGTCTGTGGCTTTAAAGGGAGGTTGTTCTTTCACTTCTGAGTCTATGGTACAGGTAATGAGTTGATTTTCACTTGTGTTCCCAGATTTGCAACTAGAGGAAAGAGGAATTGCATGCAGCACCTTAACCTTCCAGTATCAGGAGCCAGAAGCACTTACCTTACCAGGATGCAAAGCTGTAGCAGCCCATTGTGCAGGAATAGCGCATTCTGTGTCGCCCTGCTACTGAGCAGGCATGGTAAATGACCGTTTCAACACATCTCCAAGGAGGCAAGGCAGTTCAGGCTGTGAGGAAATGGAGTTCTAGAGCTTTGATGAGAAGGTCATTGGAGCCTCAAATCTAGTTTGAAATTGGTATTTAAACTGCTGTTACTTAAAGCCTTATGTACCTCTGAATTATTTTGGGAGCAATAGTGGAGGCAGCATAAGAAATCACTACACCACTGTTCAGCAGAAGTCAGAGCACATCAGAGGGCAAAATGAAAAATACAGCAATACTGTCTCTACAGTACTACTCTATTCATTTATCCTTGTGGTCAAACTGTAATTGAGGGATTGCTCTGATGAAAGAGTCATTCCTAAAATGTCCTGGGTCACCTCTCACTGTTTTGCGAAAATTGTGGTGATGAGAACATAAGAGATCTTAAAATGTTGGGGTTTCTGAGTGGGATTCCAAAAGCTGTTGCAATAGTTTGTGTATGTGTTTTATTTTTAAACAGTAAGGGCAATTTTGGTGAGATAATAGTTTTGAATGTAATTTCTTGTTGTATGGTGCTTTGCCCTGGATATGAACTTTAAGACCGGAGCCAAGAAAACTGAAAGCAAAAAGGAAAATGCTTTTTTCTGCACAGGTGCTTAGTAAGGTGGAAGAATCCCTGTGGAATTTCAAAACTTCCTTCCTACTATCTGTTGCTATAAATACATGTTTGTGGTTGTTTCCTTGTTTTCATATACTACTTTTGCGTGCTGAAATACTTTAAAATTACTACTTGTTGTTATTCTTGACACACCCATCTTTTAATGCCTGTAGTATATTCATATTTCTTTCACTGGGGAAATGGAGGAGAACATGTGGCATATTTAGAAAGGAGCTAATTTTAAAGTCAGTGTTTCATATCAAACTGAGACTATATTTAACTTAGTAAAGTGTGTTTGCACTTAGAAGTGGTTTTCCCCTCCAAGTTAATCCTTTAACTTTCAAAATCAAACAGCTTGGTGTTTTCCCTGAAACAGGAATGCGAGAACAATCCCTTCCTCACATAGTTATAATACATCAAAGAGAAGTTCATTCCCAGCATAAAGCATGCATTTTAAGAGTTGGGCAGAAAACATTAAAGATGTTTGTTGATGTTATGGTCGTTACTTATAACCAACACCACGTCACCTCTCGCAAAATCCCCCATCCCTTGGTGTAGTTTAAAATGAGCTGCAATGAATGCAGCTCCAAGACAGAGTCCCTCCTGTTCAGGAGCAGCACCAATCATGGCAGAGTTGTTCTTCAAAATTACTTTCAAAAAGTATTTGTTAAAGATGGTGGTGCATAAGGGCCAGTGGTGTAGGTGAGTTGTTTGGGGGTGGTTCTCAGGCAAGAAGAGGCACTCCCTTTCGTTTCATGTGAAAGGAGGGGGAGGTGAGGTGATGAGGGGAGGAAGGAGGTTTGGCACAAGCGAATGGGTTGCATTTTTTTCTTTAATGGAAATTTTCACGTACAGCCTTTTCATCATATTTTTGTGCTGCTCTCCCTTTTTGTAGTCCGGGCCAAATGGGTAAAGGGATCTCAGCTTTCAGCAGTTTAAAGCCCGAAAACATGTTTTAAAGCATGGTTCTAAGCGACTTCTCAGTGTCCTCATAAATGTTTAAAATTAGAAGCCTTTTTTCTGAGCCTGAAAGCATTCTTATGTTTCAGGCTATTATGATTATGGTAGATTATGAAAGGTTGGGATTTTTGAAAATAGCTTTGCATTAAATACAGATGTGTCCTTTGTTTAAAATGTATTTGGTTTGCATTTGTGTTCATTTTGATAACATTTGGAGGTATGAAGTGAACCTTATTTACAGCAACATTAAATACTGCATGTTTGCTGTTCGGCGGAAGGGTTGTTATGAATACAGCTTGCTGTTTACCTTGAAGCTGGACAAGTTAACATCTGGTTTTGCACATAAATTGTATTTTTAAATTGTTAAAATGAATGTTACTGTTTTTCTAGCTGTAGTTTTGTTCCTCTCTGATTTTTCATTAAATCTCTGTTTCAGCTTCACTCTTCAACTTTAAAGCTGCTCCTCACATGGAAAGTCGTTCCTTCATCATCACACCATAAATAATCAAAGCTGGAGGAGTTCCACTGCTTCTCTGGCTTGCAGAGTATTGCCCTTCTCCAGCTGCAGAGCTACAGTTTCCTATGGCTAACTTGACATAGTTGCTGGCAGTAAATGTTTTACTTCATTTATTTATTAGAATTTAGATTTCTGGTGTTCAGCTCCATCAGAGTTTCTGTCATACCTCATTAGATACTTCTTTTATCTGCTATCCACTGAGCTCTCTTTAGAGATAGTGTCATAAGAAGGATGAACAGGTATTTAAGAGAGCAGATTTCAACCCTAACTTTGTGCAGATGAAGCTGACGTTTGAGAATCAGCAGCTTATCTAGGCTCAGCCGTGTAGTGTATTATATTTCTACAACACATCCACCTACATGCGCATCTGTTTTGGAATGAAATACATACTTCAAATTCAGCTGTCAGGTATTATTATCAAACCTGTACAATGTGAGTTTGTGATTATTATGCATAAAGATTAAAATGCTATTAACTGTAGTAGGTTTACTTGTCAAATTCCTTATAGCTCTGAAAAATGAAAATCTCTGCGTGCTAACTATGACACAGAAAAAATCTAGTCTCATGAAGAAAATTCTGATGGCTTAAATGTTGTCCTCATTTCGGTGTGTTCTTTTATAGCTGATCTGTCACATTGTAGGATTTTCTTCATGTTTTATTAAATTGACATAATTTTTCTTGGTTAGGAATACTGAAGAAGACCTGAGCCTGCAAGTAGTTTGAGGAGCAAGTGCGTTTACTGCCTTTATCTGTACAGGCAGACATGTCCATGGAATCAAAATAGTCTTGGTGGCCTTACATATACTTTCACAATGTGGGGCAAGATGTGAGATTTGGGCTTCAGTGTATGACTTTATGAGGCTGACCGTTATGCAGTTCCAAAGTAGAAACTGCAAATCTGAGTGTAAAAATAACTTGCTTTTCAGACTTGAGTGAATCTCTTCATACCTTGCTGACACACCTTCACGAAATCCTAACAAATGACAATAGCGTACTTCTGTAATTGTGCTTCTTGTGACTATTTTATTGATGTAGAAGTACCAATAACCTTCTGAAGTATGATAGGTCTGGTGCTGTTGAGCACAAAGGAAGCTTTCTCCTTTCCCTTTTTTCACATTTTACTGACTTCCATGTAAGCATTAGCAATGATGGGGTGAATTGTGATTTCTTGACAAATCCAGAAACATTATTCTGAAGTTGTTTTGCAGAAATTTCCAATTTTAATCTAGTATAGAATCATAGAATTGCTGAATGGTTTGGGTTGGAAAGGACCTTAAAA